CAGAAGTGGCTTCCCCGCATCGCTGGGGCTGCAAAACTACCGCAAGTCCTTTTCCTCCATGTCCTCCAGGCGTGTCGCCAAGCAAGCAGGGTGCCCGCCGGCGGCAGAGCCGGGTGCTAAAGGAGCAGCTGCCCTTGAGCCTGTGGAAATGAGAGCCACGGTGGTGCCGGGTGGTTTCTACAAGGGTTGGTAGCCCTTTGGGCGAACAGCAGCGGGGAAGCACAAGCCTCGCGCAGGATGCCTCGGTCTTGACAACGCCGGCAGCTGATGCCAAACCATTGCTCGTGCTGGGCTGCTCTGGGGCTTCTGGGGGTGATAGCAGGTCTGGTGTAAAACCAGCGATGCCTTTTCTCTTGCTCTGGCAGCAGGAGCTGTTTGTTGTGCCACGCTGCCCTGATCGTGCCCCGCGATTCCCCTGCAGCCCAACGCTCTCAGCCCCGTTCTTTGACATAAAAAACCTGGTGGGTGCCCACAGAATGGAAATAATCCTGTTGCCTTTCTCTCTCCCTCTCTCTTTTTCTCTTAACAACTCCACAAAAAAAAGGGCTCGAATGCCAGAGACCGAAGCGCCAGAACTCGAGCGACGACATTGAGGTCCTCTCCACCGGGACACCTCTCCAACAAGAGAGCCCCGAGCTGTACCGCAAAGGGACCACCCCGTCCGACCTGACTCCCGACGACAGCCCCCTGCAGAGCTTCCCTGCCAGTCCCTCCTCCACGCCGCCCCTGGGTCCTTCCTGCAGGAACAAGAGCGCTCACTTCTCCAGGCAGGTCTCGGTGGACGAAGAGAGGGGTGGGGAGATCCAGATGTTGCTGGAGGGACGCGGTGGGGATTACTTGCGACCCAACAGCTGGAGCGAAGAGAAGGTCGGCGGGACTCGCGGCGTGAGAAGCGGGACGCTGCGCAGCGGTCAGCTGGGGTCAGCCTCCATCCCTGAAGACTACAGAGGTCGGAGCGGAGGACACAAACATTCGGCCTCCAACCACAAGCAAAGAGAGAGGTGGACAGATTCCCCAGCCACGGTTTCATGGACTTCCCACCACAGGTCCCACAACCACAGCTCAGGGAGCTCCAAACTGCTTGAGCTAGACGAGGAGAAGATGAGCAACTACGAGATGGAGATGAAGCCCCTCATGAGGATGGATTCTTATATGCAAGAGATTCACACCCAAAAAAGACACTATAGCAAAGGAGGACCCTGCAGGAGCATGGCTGACGACCACCGCGGGGAAGACCGGGGCTTCGGGGTTCAGAGACTGAGGTCTAAGTCCCAGAACAAAGAGAATTTCAGGCCAGCTTCCTCTGCCGAGCCCACGGTGCAGAAACTGGAAAACCTGAGATTCGGGGACAAAGCTGAACCTCGGCTACTAAGGTGGGACTTAACCTTCTCCCCGCCACAGAAATCCTTACCTGTTGCACTAGAATCTGAAGAGGACAATGGGGATGCGCTCAAATCCAGTACGGTAAGTAGGCGAAATGGTGTGTTGAAATCTGGCCCAGACACCCGGTGCAGAGCTCTTGGGGTGCCGCAGCAGAGCGGAAAGGGGGGGGGGCGCTCTGCCAGCAGAGGTGACCCCCGAATTACCGCGGCTTTGGGCCTTGAGTTCCTCCCTTCTCCCATCCTGCGTAACGGCACGTGCTGGAAGTCGGTGGGGGGTTTTCCCTGCAGGGAGAACGGCGGGTTTTTCGCTGGAGGATGGGAGCAGCACGTTGGAGTTTGCTTTGCGACCCAGGCCCGGGGCCAGCGATAAAAATCCGTTCTTGCTGGGATTTTGAGCGTTCACCTGGTGGAAGAAGGTGCGGGAGCAGGCAAGGTGCTGGTGACGCTGGCTTGTGGTTCGGTTGTGGCGGGGCCCATCAGCGCTTGCCTCATCGGGGCGTTGGCGTCACCCCGCTGCGTGATGGCGCTGGAGCGGTGGCCTCGTCACCACGTTGAGCCGGGTGGAGGAGGGAACCGTGGTCACGGAGCAGGGGACGTCACGAAGGGGTTGCGCTCCTGAGGTGACCGCTGCCCAGGTTTTCCCGACGCGATGCGGCTCGGCTGTCGCGGTGCGTGGGTGCCGCTGAGCCAGGAGGGGGTACGAGCACTTCAGGGGGGGGTGGGATGCGATGCAAAAGGGTCTTCACGAACTGCAGACAAGGGGATGCAATTCAGGAAGGTTGCCCAGGCAGGGAAAGGAATGGGCGAGTACGGCAGCGGCAGTGGGCCAGCCGGGAGCTTCGCAGCTCGGGGTGGTACAGCAGATGACAGCCGAGCATCAGGCAGTACTACTGTGAAGAGCACCAGCAAAAGCTTGTGGGACTGGGAGGATAACCCCTCGTGAGATATCCAGTCCCGGGCTCCTCGTTTTGGGAGAGACAAGGACACGTTGGGCGTTAGTAACTGGCTGCTGGGAAGAGCTGGAGGTGTTCAGGCTAGAGGAGAGGGGACAGAGCGATCTTCAAACACATAAACCAGCTGCTGCAAAGTGGAAGGGAATAATCTGGTCTCGATGAACAGAATTAAGGGGCTTAAATTCAAGCATTAGAGGCAGTGGTTAGCCATTAGCCGTTACTGGTGAGTCGAGGGCTGGAGTAAATTGCTTGGGGAGGCCGCCGTGGCTGGGAGGGAGGAGGTTGTGTAAGACCTGGTTGGACATCTGCAGCTCAGCTGTAACTTGGACAGAGCTGAACCGGCTTTGGGAAAAGGCTGAGCTGTCTCATTTCCCAGGTCCTTTCCAGCCCTGGTTTTTATCATTCACAGACTTGCCACTGAGAGCAGCTCCCTCACTTGTTCTCCCCGTTGGTTTGGCATGGCTAGGAGAGGTGATGGGGGTCTGACGGGAGCAGCGGGGAAGCCACTAAAGGCCCAAATTGCCCCTTGTCGGGTCAGGGCCAAACACAGGGCAAGGCTGGAGGGGTCCCATGCTGCTGGATGTCCCACAGCCAGAGAAACCGAACATCTGTAACTCTCAGGTGGCGACATTTCAAGCTGTGGCAGAAGAAAAGAGCTAAATCTCCCTGTCAGGGCAGCAGGAGAGGATGCTTGGTTGGTTGGGATCGTGAAACTGAAACGACGTTTGTCAGTCGCACCGAAAGTTTGGGCTAGAGGCATCGTGGTGTGTAACGTGCGATTACCGCTGCCAAACCTCCAGCATCCCCGCTCCCCCAGCCG